AATGACATAGAGATTAAAAGCACAATTCTAAGGATCAATGAATCCAGGAGTTGGTTCTTTGAAAAGATAAACAAAATAGACAAGCCTTTAAGTAGGATCAAGAATAGAAGAGAGAGGACACAAATAAACACAATCAGAAATGAAAGAGGAGAGATTACAACTGATACCACAGAAATAGGAGATTGTAAGAAATTACTATGAAGAACTGTAGGCCAAGAAATTTGAAAACCTAGGGGAAATGAACACATTTCTAGAAAAATATAATCTTCTAAAACTCAATGAAAAAGAAACAGAAAATCTGAACACACCAATAACAGCAAAAGAAATTGAAGCAGTAATCAAAAAGCTCTCATCACACAAAAGCCCTGGACCAGATGGTTTCACAGGAGAATTCTACAAAGCATTTAGGGAAGAGCTAACCCCTATTCTTCACAGACTATTCAAAAAAATACAGAAGGATGGAAAACTCCCAGATTCTTTTTATAAACCCAGCATCATCTTAATTCCAAAACCAGATAGAGACACAACAAAGAAAGAAAACTTCAGGCCAATATCCCTGATGAACATAGATGCTAAAATCCTCAACAAAATATTGGCAAATCAAATACAACAATATATCAAAAAGATCATACATCATGACCAAGTGGGATTCATCCCAGGGATGCAAGGATGGTTCAATACTCGCAAATCAGTAAATGTAATACATCACATAAACAAAAGCAAACACAAAAACCACATGATCATATCAATAGACGTGGAAAAAGCTTTTGATAAGGTACAACACCCATTTATGATAAAAACACTCAGCAAAGTGGGAATACAGGGAGCATTCCTCGATATAATGAAGGCCATATATGAGAGACCTACAGCCAACATCATACTCAATGGGCAAAAACTAAAATCCTTTCCATTAAGATCAGGAACAAGACAAGGATGTCCACTTTCACCACTTCAATATAGTATTGGAAGTTTTACCACAGAGATCAGACAAGAAAAGGAAATAAAAGGCATCCAAATTGGAAAGGAGGAAACAAAACTCTCACTGTTTGCAGATGACAAGATAGAATACATGGAAAATTCTTTAGACTCAACCAAAAAACTGCTCGAACTAATTAATGAATTTGGCAAAACAGCACGTTACAAAGTCAATATTCAGAAATCAAAGGCATTTTTGTATACCAACAATGAATCAGCAGAAGCAGAAATCAAGGAAAAAATCCCATTCGATACAGCAAAAAGAAAAATAAAATATCTGGGAATAAACCTAACTAAGGAGGTAAAAGACCTGTATGCAGAAAACTACTCAGCACTGAAGAAAGAAATCAAGGAAGACAAACAAAGGGAAACATATACCGTGTTCATGGATTGAAAGAGTTATCATCATCAAAATGTTCATACTACCCAAAGCAATTTACAGATTCAATGCAATACCTATTAAAGTACCAATGGCATATTTCACAGACATAGAACAAACACTTCAAAAATTTATATGGAACCATAAACAACCCCGAATAGCAGCTGCAATTTTGAGAAAGAAGAACAAAGTAGGAGGGATCACAATACCTGATATCAAACTGTATTACAAGGCCACTGTAATCAAAACAGCCTGGTACTGGCATAAAAACAGGCACATAGACCAATGGAACAGAATAAAGAGCCCAGAAATAAACACAACTCTCTACAGTCAATTAATATTCAACAAAGGGGGCAGTAACATAAAATGGAGTAAAGATAGCCTCTTCAACAAATGGTGTTGGGAGAACTGCACAGCTACGTGCAAAAAAAATGAAACTTGAGCACAGACTTACACCATACACCAAAATAAATTCAAGGTAGATAAAAGACTTAAATAGAAGCCATGAAACCATTAAAGTCCTAGAGGAGAACATTGGCAGGAAAATCTCAGATATTTCACGCAGCAATATTTTTACTGATATGTCCCCTAGAGCAAGGAATATAAATGGGATCTCATCAAAATAAAAAGCTTCTGTGTGGCTAAAGAAAACAGTATTAAATTAAAAAGACGACCAACTGTATGGGAAAACATATCTGCCAATGATACCTCAGACAAAGGTTTAATCTCCAAAATATACAAAGAACTTACACGACTCCACTCTGAGAAGACAACCAACCCAGTTAAAAAATGGGAAAAGGACTTGAACAGACACTTCTCCAAGGAGGACATACAGAAGATCCAGACACACATGAAAAGATGCTCAATATCACTAGCTATCAGAGAGATGAAAATTAAAACCACAATAAGATACCACTTTACAACGGTCAGGATGGCTATCATAAAAAAGCAACAAACAAATGTTGGAGAGGTTGTGAGGAAAAGGGAACCTTAGTTCACTGTTGGTGGGGTTGCAGACTGGTACAAACATTATGGAAAACAGTAAGGAATTTTCTCAGAAAAATAAAAATTGACCTGCCTTTTGACCCAGCAATTCCACTGCTAGGATTATATCCTAAGAATCCTAAAACATCAATATCAAAGAACCTATGCACCACAATGTTCATAGCAGCACAATTTACAATAGCCAAGAGTTGGAAGCAACCTAGGTGCCCGTCAGTAAATGAATGGATCAAAAAATTGTGGTACATATACACAATGGAATTCTATGCAGCAGAGAGAAAGAAGGAGCTCCTACCCTTTGCAACAACATGGATGGAACTGGAAAGCATTATGCTGAGTGAAATAGGCCAGGTGTTGAAAGACAAATACCATATGATCTCACCTGTAACAGGAAGCTAAACAACAAAACAAACAAGCAAGCAAAATAAAAACAAAGACACTGAAATAGAGAATAAGGGGATAGTGACCAGAGGGGAGAGGGGGAATTTAAGGGGAAAAAAGGGAGAGATTTAGAGGAACAAGTAAAAAGGACACTGGGACAATAAGGAGGGTGGAAATAGGAGTGAGGTGGGGAGCACGGAGCGGGGTGGGCTGGGATGGGAGAAATAGACAAAAAACTGTACTTGAAAAATAACTAAATAATTTTTTTTTAAAAAGAGTCCGGAAGAAATGACGGGCCCAAAAAGAATAGAAAGGAACAGGGAGAAGGACAGAAAATGCAAAGCCAGCGTGCATCCTCCGTTCTGGGGGTCTTTGCTGCTGATTTCCAGGCCTGACACATACACATTCCTGCCAACAGCCAGAAAGGGGAGAGGCCAGACCACCTGGCCAGAGCCTGGACCCCCGTGCAAGGCCTCAGTCTGCTGGTGCGAATGGTCATTCCAATAGCTGATGGCCATTGAAACAGCCAGGACCCCTCCAGAAGGGACTCGGCCTCCTTCCCCACAGAGGTCCCTACTGAAGCACAAATCAAGCCAGTCCACCTTGCCTCCCTCAGCCTTCCCACCTGCATGTGAGCTCCAGGAGAGCAGGGCCCCTAGCCACTGGCCCACTCCCTCACAGTGACCACCCCTACATCCATTCTATTTACATGGGTCCAGGTCCTTCCAGGTCAGGGGTCACCTGGCGAGTCTCCCCTCCCCCCGGAACTCACCCACACTCCTGCTCTGCCACTTTTATGTGGCCCAGCAGCTTTCAAGTCCTTCACCTAAACCAGGGGTGTCCCATGTGTGGACCGCAGGCCGCATGCAGCCCAGGACGGCTGTGAACGTGGCCCAACACAAAGTCGTAAATTTACTTAAAACATTATGAGATTTTTTGTATATGATCATATGTCATAATGTAGTCAATGTGTGGCCCAAAATAACTCTTCTTCTTCCAGCCCAGAGACCCAAAAGCCTGGGCACCCCCAACCCCTGCCAGAGGCATTGCTGACAGTGCAGCAGAGGCCCTTCAGCCACAGGTCCCTGGAGCATGTGCTGTGTCACAGGCCTGTGTGACAAGGGAAACCAAACAGTGCTGTTAGGTGGCCAAAGGAAGGATGAGGGAGGCTGAGGATGCTGAGAGTAGACACTTGATGGGGCTCCCCTCTCCCCCGGGGGCACTATGATGGCGTGAAGGCGGAGGGGTGCCGGCCCTGGAAGATGCTGGGGAGTGGCTGTTTGGAAAGTGATGGAGCAGAGAGAGGAGGTGCTGACTTTTGGTCAGAGCACCCAGCTGACCCATGGTGGGTTAGGAACCTCCGAGTTGACATTGGTTTCTTCCATTTTTTGAGCAAAGAAATTGAGGTTCAGCCAGTTACGAAACCTGCCTAAAGTCCCACAACTAAACAAAGGACACACATGGAGAGCATCACATATCTCCCGAGATGTATTGGGTGCTCACACTCACTGGCTGTCAGACTGTGAGACTCTGTGGGTCCCAAGGGGGTGTCAGGAGTAGGAGAGGACAGCCCTCACCTGTCCTGGGGCTGGGTTTCCCGGGTCACAGATTGGGGGAAGGGGTGCTAGATGGAAGCACACCATCACTGTGGCCCCAAAGATGCTATAGACTCAGGGACACCCACCAGCTAACTCCTGGAGGCCACACCTGAGGTTTCAGAACTGGAGGAAGATGGCCCAGGTGTGGGTAAAGCTGGCCAGCAGCTGCCAGGTGTGTGTCCCATTCCTGAAAGATCAGCACTTCATGTTTGTTCCTCTGTTTTGTGGACCTGACATTCTAAGCCAAGGGAAGTGGGAGCAAGGTGGGGCCGGCAGCGTAAAAATGCATGTGAGAGTGTTTATAGATTTCCCTTTGTTTGTAGATAGTCACTATATCCTAGCAGAGCCACACAGTAAGTACACCGTGTGGCTCTGTTTCTGGCTCTAAAACAATGTGAACCTCAGAAGCAGCTTCCTCTGGGACCCTGCAGCTCTGCAAGGCCAAGAGAAGCCAGTGAAGCAGTGAGCAGTGCTGCCTGGTAAATTTAGAAGCAGCTCTCACATTCGGTTGCAATTTAAAAGAAGCCAGGCACCGGGCTGGTAAGAACCAGACAAAAGACAACGGAGGCACTGACAGACCTCTGGCCTGACAGGCCCGGTGCCGGCTCCCCTGCGTCACCCCAGGGTCCCTGTTTCCCTCTGCAGGCCGCCTCGCTGCTGAAGAGATGGCGGGCTTTCCAGCCTCCCTGGACTCCTTTGGGCAGGTGCCTGGGCCCAGCGGTCTCTTGTTCTGCATCCTCCTCCTCCTCCAGCCTGGGGAGCTGAACTCAGGCAGTGCATCCAACCTGCAGACCAGCCACCCAGGTTCTGAGCACACCCACCTCTGTCCACACCTCCTGCAGGTGCTCGCAGGGCCGAGGCAGTGTAGCCACACCAGGTGCTAGTATTTAGAGATTTCTATCCCAGTGGTGCCCCTGGCCAATGCTCCTCCAGCATCTCAGCCATCCAACATTCCCACCTACCCCAGCCACCCTACACTCTCAAGCATGGCAGGGGCAGAACAAGAGGATGCCCAGAAACTCCTATCAGTCTGTTCTTGGGCTGAGCCAGTTGGAAAATACTCGTAAATCCACCTGTGCAGCTGCGTGTGATCAGGCTGCAAGAGAGGTGTACCTGAAGATTTGGGAATACAGCTAAGAGAGTCATTTGGTTTTTTTCCAGAAAGCCAAGAAGAGCTATAGATATCAGGAATTGTGTAAGCAGAGCTTTGCAGGATCCATCTTCTCTAGAAAGATGACAGATGGAGGGTAAACTGAGACAGGATGCATCCAGGGAGAGAGCCAAGCACCACGTGACAGGGAGAAAAGCTGGAGAGGGAAGCTGACTGGAAGTGTGCTGGGTCTTCACCTGGTGGCAAGAAGAGGTCTCATATGCGGTGGACAAAGAAAGGCACTGCCCTGCTCTGCCCGCAAAGTGAGAGTGGGAGGGATCCCTGAAGGGAGAGCTCAGGGTGAGGTTTTAGTCAAGCTTGGGGGGCACATAGTTTTTAGCTGAGCTTTGAAGATAGGAAAGGAGGTGCATAGAAGGCAGAGTGACGAGGGCGACTCACAGGGCAGCAGGACCCGGAGCACCTCGGCCCTGCGGCCATAACCTTGACTTTCATGGACATAGCAGAAAACAGTCTAGCTTGGGGGACCACAGGGACCAGATGGGGACACCATCAAAGAGGACGACTGAATGATAGATCCTGGTGAATAGAAATCTGCAAGGCAGGGTTTGACCTGTAGAATAAAAAGAAAAACCAAGCAAGGAGCCCCACGGATTGTTTTAAAACCGTTTGTTGCTATGGAAGCTGTGAACATGCACACTAGAAAAACAGAAAAAGCAGACAAAACAGACAAAGAAAACATCTATTCCCACTATGCGGAAATTACCAATGCATTTCCTTCATGACAATTACTTTTACAAGACACCCGACAAGCTCAGGCTGCCCTGTTGAGCATCTCAACCTCCCTCATTTGAAGGGCTTGCTGCAGATTTCTGAGCTACAAAACCTTCATGGAGAGCTGGTTTTGGCCATTCTTCTGGCTTCTTGTCCTAGAGGAGCTCCAGGTGATTGGCCCTGAGGCGTCCATCCTGGCACAGGTCGGGGAAGAGGTGGAGTTCCAGTGCCACCTGCTCAGTTACCAGAGCACAGAGCACATGGAGATCCACTGGTTCCGGAGCCAGGTCTCAGAAGTGGTGTAACTGTTCCCGGAGCCACAGGAGCTCGCCGGGCAGCAGATGATGCAGTTCCGGAACAGGACCAAACTCTTCAAGGACGACCTCATGGATGGCATGGTGATCCTGCAGCTCTGCCACGTAATGCCCGCTGACCAGGGCCCCTGCGGGTGCCACTTCCTCTCCAGCAGCTTCCCTGGGAAAGCTGTTTGGGAACTGGAGGTAGCAGGTGCCTGGCCTGGTGGAGCGCCCGCTGGAGGGCGGGGGATGGGGGGCATGCGCAGGAGAGGGTGCATTTGGATAGAGCCGCTTTGCTCCAGAGTAGATATTGAAGCCCAGGCAACAGGGGAATAGATCTACGTTAAAAAAATAACATTAATTAATTAACTAAAAAGAAAAATACATTCGAAAATTTAAAATTTGTTCATGACAAAAGATACACAAATGGACGTTAAACATATGGAAAGATTATCAGTTCGGCTCAGAATGGGGGGGGCAAGTTAAATCCACAGGGACATGCAATGCTTTACCTCTCAGACTGGCAAAAATTAAAAAATTTGAGCCCACACTCTTGACGAGGCTGTGGGGGAGCAACTCGCCTGCTCTGCACCATGCTGACCAAGTTCAAAGTTAAAATGCTCCAGTGCCTGGGAATTTGGCAATGACAGGATGTCTGTGCGCCTCTATTTTGAACATCAGCCCCCCTCTAGGAGTTTATCTCGAAGGTACACCTCCCACAGTTATGTGGAAAAGGCAGGTGTACAAGTTTAAGCTTTGTAACATTGCTTGTTGTTGCAAATCAGCAGAAATAACTTGAATGCGCAAGCGCGGGCACTGACCTAGTACACGCGGAGCAATCCACACCAGGCAGCTGAAAATATGAGGCGGAGCTCCGTGAACGGGTGTGGAGTGATTTCTAGGTTGTCGCTAAGAGAAAAGAAGTGAGATGCGTAAGACGGTCTGTAATTCGTAAACGTCTGTGTAAGAACGAAGGAGAAACACAAAGGAAACACAGGGAGGATAAACCAGGAACTCATGAAAACAGTGACCTAAGGGAGGCGGTGCAATGGGATGGGAAGGATGACAAAGGTCTGGGGCTTTCCTGACAAACTTTTTTTTTTTACAGTACTGGCATTTAAACCATATTAATGTTTTGCATACTTAAAACATAGAGCCAGCACCTCGAGGATGGAACGATAAAGGAATACGTATATCACAAGCATTGTACTTGAGCTCTGGGGGCATTCAGGAGAGGGAGAAGACCAACTGTTGAAATTTGGAGAGAAATTATTCTTCTTTCTCCAGGACTGTCCCTTGCGTAATATGACTAAGTGTCAGTAGCCCTTTTCAGTCAAATGGACCCCCTCCATATTTCCAAATGTTCCTCAGGGCTAGTACTGTCCACACATGTCACCACTGGTGCAGACTGTCATTTACAGGCACGGGTGGGGGCTATGAGCCCCCAAGTATGTGAAGAGAAGTCACAGTTATGATTCCCTATGGTGACTGCAAATGATGAGTTTTGCCCCCAACTTCTGGGAAGGAGCCTAATACTTCCCACTCCTCCCTCCTCTCTCCCAGGGATGGGGTCAGACCCTCACATCTCCCTTGAGGGCTTCAAGAAAGGAGGCATTCAGATGCGATGCAGCTCCAGTGGCTGGTACCCCAAGCCCCAGGCTCAGTGGAGAGACCATCAGGGACAGTGCCTGCCTCCTGAGTCCGAAGCCATCACCCAGGACGCCCAGGGCCTGTTCAGTCTGCAAACATGGGTGGTTGTCCAAGAGGGGGCGCACAGCAACGTGTCCTGCTCCATCCAGAACCCCCTCCTCTCCCAGAAGAAAGAGTTCACAGTCCAAATAGCAGGTCAGTGGGTGCTGGCTCACCTTCATCTTCCTAACCATCACAGTGTCCATGTCCATTGTCCCAACAGCCCTCTCTGAGGACACAGTGGTACAGGGCCTGGCTGTGTACAGCAGGATTGTCACATTCATTGTCACCGGGGGCCACATCAGCCTCGAGGCTGCCTTCAAAGGGCCAAATGTAATTTTAGGTCTGTGTAAATAAATGTCACTGCTCCTTAGCTGGGGGCAAAGAAGAGTGACAAGAGCTGGTGGGGTGTGTATGTGGATTTAAAAGTGGTGGGTCAGGGGAGAAGTCAGTTAGGCAAAGAGTTGGAGGTGAGGCTATTTTCTAACATCAGAGTCTTTTCATCAGGCGCCCACTGAAAGGTTCAATGTTTTCAACTCTAAACGTTTTAAGTCTTGGGGACAAACCCAACCTGTGGGCCACATCCCACATGGGTCCAAATTAATAGTTACATTACAATCACAGAAAGGAGCCTCACCCTTGTAAGTAACAACCTGTCCTCAGGTAGGACGACTTCACGGCACACATGCCAATTCAAAATGCAGCTGGTAATTGGGGCGGCCATCTGGGGGCTAATGCTCTTCCTCCAAAGGAAAGGTAAAACATTTCATATCTTTTTGATAAGAATGTAGTTACACCCTGGCTGGTGTGTCTCAGCCAATTGAGCACCAGCCTGTGGGCCAACAGGTCACTGGTTCAATTCCCATCAGCGCACATGCCTGGGTTGTGGGCCAGGTCCTTGGTTGGGGGTGTGCAAGAGGGAGAAAAAAAAAAGAATGCAGTTGCATCTTGGAGCCAGTTAAACCCCCAGGACACAGAGATGGAGGTGCTTTCTCCAGGGTGTTTACATTTCAAGAAAAGTCTCAGGAAGAGAAACATTCCTGACAGACAAAGCTGACAACAGGCTTATTTAGCTTTCAGAAGGATTTGCATACATCTCCACAGGATAGAAAAAAGATTTCCAAGTGTCTCTAAGGAAATGGTTTAAGAAAGGGAAAGCCTCTTTCTCTTTTTGCATCAGGGAAATTCCTTTTTTTTTTCTTTTAGATTTGTGTTCATCCTTTATAAAGGGTGGGAAGCACAGGGATATCTGTTGGGGAGCATTCAGGTCTAGGGAACAGCAAATGCAAAGGACCCCACATGGGAATGTGTGTGGTTCCTGGAGGAGCAGGAGGTGGGACAGGAGGGAACAGGCACAAGATCAAGGGCAGCTGGTCAGAGCAGCATCAGACCCTGAGTCTCAACCTCTAGGTCACTGCTTAGTGAACCACATGTGGTGAAGGACCAATCTGTTGTGGACCAATAGCTTTGCACCAGACAATAAAAACACAAAGTTAGGAAATTTTTCTTGAAAAACACAAGAGCACATTGAGCTAAGTGAAATAAGCCAGACACAAAAGGATGAATGTTGTAAGATTCCACCTTTATAAGGTACCTAGAGCAGTCAACTCACAAGATGGAAGGGAGAAGAGAGGTTCCCAGGGGCTGGGAGGAGGGGAAATGGGGAGTTCGTGTTTAATGGGGACAGATTCCAGGTGGGGAGGGTGGAAACAGTTCTGGTGGCAATGGTCGCCCAACGTGAACGCCCTTAATGCCAAGGAACTGGACATTTAAAAATGGTTAAGAAGGTGCATCTTAAGTTATGTATATTTAAACAACAATGAAAAGGAAAATATTTTAAAAGACCACTGAGATAAAAGCATCTATAATTTCCTTCAACAGACAGGAAATTGCTCTATCAAGTTGCCACAGGCGTTTCTAAGGGGTTATTCTCATTGTTCACCTGTTGACCGCCTGCAGAGGCCTCCCCAGGGAACCCGGGGAGGGGAGAAGGTGCTGCCAGTCCGCTCCCACGCGGCTTTGCTATCAGTTCTCCCAAAGGAGTGAGAAGTAGAAGCCAGGTGTCTGCCAGGAGTAGGGAGATGTCTGTGAACTCACCAGGTTTCCATGTCCACAAAACACCTTGCATCCAGATGCGAAGGGAGAATGGGAAGAAGCAGAGGCCAATCTGGGCCTTGGTCACAGCAGTTGGAGGCGCCCCTTCTTTCCACCCTCAGTTCGCAGCGCTTTCCCTTTGCATGGAGCTAGTGCAGGTCGCCGGCCTTCCCGGGATCCTGCCACACCCGAGCGCGTGGCAGCCGCCCTCTCCTCCGTTGGACGGATGGCCCTGTGGGGCCCAAGACTCTTAAGTGGCCAGCTCTTTGTTGCTGGGGTTTTCCAGCATCGGGAGCCTCTGCACCTGAGTGTTCGAGGCATCTAAATCCAGACAAGTCTCTCTGGGTGTTTTCCAGACGTTTTTCTACCCGGGCCCTCCCCGTGGAAGGCAGCTTTCCTCGGGACCCTGGTGGGCGGCCTGCTGCTGCTGCTGGCTCTGCTCGCGAAGCTGACGCTGTGCTGCTTTCACCCGCAGCGGTGGTACCAAGGTACCGGCCTGCTGGGCGGTGGTCCGGTGCTGGCTGGCGCGGGAAAAGGCGCGGGGCGGGGCGGTGGAAGGGGGCGGGGAGCACCCACTCCGCCCCCTTCCCTTTCCTGTACAGAAAAGCTGAAGGAGCAAGCGGACAAGGACAAAGGTGAGCGGGGACAGCGGCACTTCCTCCGCCCCCACCTTTGTCTAGCAGAGGGGGGCCCTGGGGCAAAGAAGGGAGGAGGCAGGCCCCAGCCCCAGCGAGCTGGGCAGACCCACCAGTGGCGAGGTTGCACTCTCCCCTCTCTTGCGCTCCTCCTGAGTGTGCAGCTCAGCCTGGTCCCAGAACCGAGTCTGCGCACTTTGGAAAAGCGAGGCATCAGGTTCTTTGATGGAGATCTTCCTCTTTTCGTCCTCTCTTTTCCAGGGAAACTCACTGCAGAACTGGGTATGTTCTGGGTGCCGGGCCCACCGCGCTGGCTGCGGGCTACAGGGGTAACCAGGTGCTCGCTGCGGAAGGAGGGGTTCAGTGACTTTAGGCGCCCTTTGGAAAGCGATGTATGGCAGGATCTAATTTTTAACGCACTCCTTTCAGCCTCCCACCTCCTGACTCCCAAACGGACTCTAGAGAAGCTGCCAGGGAGGCCTGGCCTTAGACCCTCTGGACCGGCCCTGCAACCCCTTCCCTGCCAATGATAAGATTCACTCACAATTTCCCCCTTAAACGTTGACTCTCACTGACTGGCTTGTTTTCCTAGGATGTCCTTCTCTTTTTAATGCAAATGCCACTGTGAAGGGTGGCACCTTGAACTTGCAGGAAAGTTGTGTAGCTTAAACACAGTATAGTCTAATTTAGTGCAGAGAGCCGCCTTTCCCAGCAGCATTTACCCTTTTAAAAGACAAGGGATGCATTTCTAGTGGCAAACTATCAGTGTGGGTGTCCAGCCATGGGAAGCGATTCAGTGCGCTGTCTCTCCAGTTCTTGAAGCAACGTGCTCACCCTGTAGGTGACCCTGAGGCTCAGGCAGGCTGTGCTTAGTGCCTGGACATATCCAGGAAAGCTAGAGATTTGTGGGCAGAGGAGTAGCAACCCCTTCAAACCAGACCTGAGCCCTGGGAAGAGGCTCCTCAGCGCCAAGCACTGCTCTCTCTGTGTGTTCTGCTTATAGGGAAGCTGCAGGCAGAGCTCGGTAAGTGGCCCCTCTTAGGACTATCTTTCCTTGCCCACTGTTTAGCAACTGGTTATCCGTGTAAGTTCTTCTCCTCTCCCAACCAGGTATGATGGCCAAGCTGGAACCCTGCTCTGGCTCTGGGCAGAAGAAGGGGGAGGGGGCAGGGGTGGGTGCAAATTTGGTAAGTGAACCTGGAAGCTGCAGAGCCTCCGTGTTCTGATCTTGTTTTTCCTTAACTGCTTCAGACTGGAGAAGGGCTGAAGGCCAGGCAGGTGAGTGGGACCTGCTTCCCTCCCATTGTCCCCTTTACCTCTCAGCACACCAGTCCCTGTCTCTGATTAACCAACCACATTCCATCCTGGTTTATGCCACAGCCTCACTTGGCGTGAATTGACCTATGTCACTGGTAAAGGCTATCTCTGAGTTTTGTTTTTATAATGTTTCCTATTGCCCCAGGGTGCAAGCATACTGCAAACCGCTGGTGCCAGTCCTGGTGGCACATGAGAATCCCCCCGGCTCCCGATGCCCACCCTCCAAGACTGGGGTGGGCATGTCACCCCACATGTAAACATTTCTCCGTGTATCTCCCTCTATTTCCCCATAAAGCAAGCCATCTAACATCTGTCTTTATATGTATTCTTGCAAAATGTGATGCTCCGTTTTGTGCACATGCATTTTAGTTTATGTAAATTATTTTTACATAAGTAACTTAAATGCCTGGGTGTTTCCTGGCTTTTCTCACTCACGTTTTAATATCCATCCTGCTGCCGCGTGCACACCTGGCCCATTTTTCCCTCTTGTTGCGGGGCCCTGCATTCAGCCAGCCCCCCTCCTGGAGTGGCAGCCAGCCTCCTCTAACTCCACTCCACACAAACAACACAAGCATGTTGCCTTCGGGCCGTGTGGAGATCTCTCTGGGAGGTACACTGGGAGTGCTGGCCCACGGAGGTATGTCACCAAGTGGGACAGAGCGACCCCCCAGGCAGTGCCATCATCCTGCCATTGGCAGCGCACAGAGTCCCCGGCCCCCACATCCATGTGAGCTCGTTTTCTGAGTCGGGCAGTGCGTGGGGAGGGGTGATTCTCACTGTTCTTTTAGTCTGCACGCCCCTGAACACTAAGGAGTCTGGGCATCCCTTTTATGCTATTGGCCATTGGAGATTCCTCTTCTGAACATTGCCTGCTCATGTCCCTTTGCCCAGTTTGCACATAGGGTTACTATCCTTTCTTATTGATTCACAGGACATATGTGTGTATGTATATGATCTTACTCACTCATTGGTGTTAAATGATATGAATCCCTTTTTCTATTCTGTCATCTGCCATAAGCTTGGTCCACGGTGCCTCTTATTGAAGTCTTCGCTTTTGATAAAATCTGACTCATCACGTGTTTTACCTCTGGCTTGTTCCTTTGAAGTTTTGTTGAAGTAGACCTTCCTCGCATTTAAGTCACAAAGATTCTCTTACATTTTCTTCTATTCACTTCATATGTGTAGGGCCTTTAATCCATCTGAATTGTGCCATTATATGTGGCGTTGAGTGATAATTCAGTGATTTTGCTCCGTGTGGAGAGCTGATTTTCCCAGCACCACCTGCTATACCATCAGACATTTCCCCACTGATGTGGCTGTCACGTTTGGTGTGCACTTGGTGCCCAAGTTCCAGTGGGGGTGTCTGTCGGCCACCAGTTACCTCACTGTTTCTACCACCATCGCTTTTATCGTACCGAAAGGACGCCGTTTCCACTTCCTTTCCAAAGTCACTGAATCTTTTCAAAACATGTTTCAGGGTAATTTTATGAAGTTCCTTTAAATCATCCAAAAGTGGTTTTCCACAGAATTGCTTTGAATTCATAGCTAAATTTAGAGAGAATCAACATCTTTATAGAATTGAGGTTTTCTATACAAGAGCTATATGTTTATGAAGTTCTACTGGTTTTCTTATGAAAACCAGGGTGGAAAATCTCTGCTCTGAATTTGTGGAGCTCTGAGCTGTCCATCTTCTATTGCTTCTGCTCTTTTGTGAGTTGGAGATGTCTCTGTTATAAAACAGAACGAGACAAAATGAAGCAGAAATCCACTCAGAACGGCTTATGTGAAGAAAGGAGGCAAGACACAGTATCTGGAGGCCACATTAGGACAGGAGCCAGCCTCAGCTGGGCCCCCTGAGCACTGAGCTTGCCAGTCAGAGCTCTGAGCACTGAGGCTGCCTCTCCATCCATCAGGGCTCCCATGCTGCGTGTATTCGTTCCCTTTGCCCACACGCTCTGCTCTCCCGCCAGTCCCCCCACAACTTCAGCCTGCATGCAGCTTTGGTATAACCCAGCACTGACCGCGGCCTTTTACTCAATCCTGAATGCCTGGGAAAATGCCAGTCTGGACCTAAACCAGCTGTCACGGTGGGGCTGGGGTCGTTCACTTCTGTGTCCCTCATGCACCTGGAGTCTCTCTCAAGTTTCCATGGTTACCAACTCAGCTCTCTGAGCCTCTTTTTCTTCTCTGTTTGGTTTCAGAGTGGAGAGCAGCCCAACAACATGCAGGTAACTGAAGCCAAAGAACTGACATGACTCGGATCAGCTGGGTCTTAAACAGAGGAAGGTGGAGAGACCTGAGAGTGGAGGAAGGGGTCTGTCCAAAGCCAAGTATGAGCCTGCACACACAAACACACAGGTGCACTTGCACACATAGGACATGCCCCCACACCCGCAGGTGCATATATGCACACATACATGCTTGTGTGCATACATGTGACTGACTCACACGTGCATACATCATTGCACACACACATGTCCCCCACAAGCATGTAGCTTTCTGGGTTTTACTGGGTTTTTTCTTCTGGCAGGAAGGCTGTGTGCAGGAGCAAAAGCCAGAGTTTGTAAAGAACCTTTCAGGTGGTCTGGCAGAAGGGATACTTTGGGGTTGTATCCATGGAAGGAGTGTGTTTGGCAGCTGTGGGGATGGAGTACAGAGCACTGGACTAGATGACCTCAGAGGCCCCATTCGGGTTTAAACTCCTAGAAGTGCTGTGCAACTGAGGCCCAGAGCTCACCTGATGCTCCCCATGCAGCCCTGGTGGTGAGGCCAGCAAGGCTAAGCACCGGCTTTGGGCTCCTTCCCTTTGACCAGGATTTGAGGGCAAGGAGCCTTCCTCTGTCCCCACGTGCCTTCCTTGTTTGCTATCTCCTCTCCATGGCACCCAGGATAGTGACTTGCAGGCCACTTCAGTCCCAAGTGTTTCAGGTTGAGGGAGGGTGTGACTATTCCACCAACTGCTCCACTGCTGAAAGCATGACAGGGAGATGCCAACTGGACAGAAAAGTCAGCTTTAACGGACTCCCATTGGCCAAATTTGAGCATCAAAGTAATTAATGGCAGTTAAAGTTTGAGTAAAATAAGAATCCAAGAGTCTTTGTATTTACACTGATTCCATAAATAAAGACATTAATAAATAAATGGGAGAGGAGAGAAAGCTATACCTTACTATTGAAGTCTCAAAGTATCTCCCCCCACAAAATACGAACTACTTATGGGGGAGGCAAAAGTAAGGTTTACAGTTGTTTATGTGAAAAATACAATAAATAATAACAAGAATAAACTGTTTCCTGTACTTGTGATGGTAAAGCTATTTTGCCTACCTTTTTATTAATTTAGAAGTACAGACACTTATTAGTCAACTTGATAGTGGAGGAGGCTGTGGCAGATGCCATCTCAACTGTGGGGTCGCGTGGACGTGGACATGGAAGTGGCTCCTCCAACCCCCATAACAGAAGGCTGGCTGGAGGGCCCCTGCCAGAAGGAATGTGTATTGTCTCACAAATTGATTGTAATTCCCTCTATATCCCCTTTTGGGAATGGCTTCCTGTCCTGCGCCTTCCTCCTGACATTTTCTCCTTCTGCACACACACTCTGAGGTAGGACATGTGCCCCTGTGTCTGGGACCCCTCCCAACAAGTCTTGCACTCAGGGAGGCAGGGCCCTGCTTCTCTGATCTGCTGTTCCTGCTCCTGCACTGTGAGTGATAAAGGCTACCTCTGCTCCACCCAGCGCTCTGTGGGTTTTTTCAGCTTATCCAAATGAGCATCAAGATCCCAAGGCTTGTCCTCCTGTGTTACATTAACCAGGTGACAAAATTTAACATCACCAGATGGGACACATTTATACCACATGCCTCCTGATACAGTGCAGTGTGAAGAACTTTACAAATTGTGAGGAAACAAGCAGTGAAACTGGCTGATGCACTAAAATGTTAAGGTCAGGAAAGACGAGACTAAAGAATTGTTTCAGACGAAAAGAGACTAAAGCGACATGACAACTGAGTACCATAGGTGACTCTACATAAGATCCTGGGGTCTACAAAACACAGTATTTGGGGAAAAAAGAGACCTTTGAAAATGGCTCCAAATCAGATGATAATATTGGATAAATGTTAATTTTCTGATTTTGATGTAAAAGAATGTCCTTAATTTAAGAATGTAGTCACTTAAGTATTAAGGAGTAATGGGATATGATGTTTGTACCTTATTCTCAAATGGTTCATTGAAAAATATAGTGACATACAGAGAGAATGATAAAGGAATGCAGTAACATCTGGGAAATGTTTAATAACTACCTTTCTGGGAAAAGCTGCAGCATTTATTGATTTCCATGTTGTCGATACTCCCACGGTGGCTGATTTCAAGCTGCAGGGGTGACATCACCGACGGAGCTGGGAAGGGTGTGCACAATGGACCTTTCCAAGACCCAGCTCCTGCACACCGCTGGTCTCCTGCCATTCCACACAGGGCATTTGGTCATCGCTGTGATTTATTTCTCTAATGAATCAAATAAGTACACTCTGGAGCTTATAAAAATATGCTCAGCCACCTGTTTAGCCTTACTAATATACCACATGTAATATTCAGAACAGGGAAGTTTTATTTTCTCTAATCATTTGTATTAACATACAATTATTTTAAGGTCCTACTCACAAATGCTTTATAACATTTAAAATGTGTTCCTGGACTGTATGCAATCATCACCTATTCCTATTTGCCATTGTGGTACCCAACTCTTGGCTAACTCTATTTTCTGCATATGTAGTGAGACATGTTACATTTAAGATGCTAGGCCTTTGCTGGACGCAGTCATACCCTTTCTGGATGCTACCCAAACTTTCTCAGAAAAGGAGTTTCCTGGCCCCATTCTTCCTGTCTGTCAACCTCATCCTTTGCTTTTGACTCCTCTTGCTACTCACACGAGTGCAGCCCCCATGCCATGATAACTACCCTGGCTGTGGCATTGTCCCCCCCTCAGCAATGCTTGCAGAGGCAGTCCCCAGCCTGGCTGATCGTCTTTCCTCACCCACTTTGGCCCAGGCTCACTCAGCTCAACCCCACTTGCACCAGCATGTGTGTTAATTGTGATCCTCCATCATTACTCCCTCGCTGAGATCCTTCACCTGAGTCACACTGGCCATTCCCTCATTGGATTCTAGGAGTACTCGACACCTGTGCCTCTCAGATATGATCTGGGGACCCCTCCTCGGAATCATTTCAGGGACTCATCAGGGTAAAAATCAATATTGTAACAATAATTATATGTTACTTGCCTTTTATTCTCATTTATACTTGGAAATGTACAGCAGAGTTTTCCAGATTGAATACAGAAGCAGATGAGGAAATTCATATGTCTTGTGGATTATTACGAGTCACAAAAATGTAGAACAATGCTCCTCTTTTCACTAAACTATTGCTTTCCATGTATAATTATTTATATTATTTTTATATTAACCCATATAGAAATGTCATCTATGTTAATATGCAATGGTTTATTATTTTTTGAAATGAATAGTTTCTAAAGTTTTCAAAGGCTATGTGACATTTTACCGATCAAATATACAAAAACAAAAGCTCTGTAAGGACTCGATAGTGACTAAGACTGAGGCCAAAATGTTTGAATATTGCCATTCTACAACATGAGATCACTCATGAATGTTTCAGGCAGATGACACGTGTCACGGTGCTTCCAAGCCCAGATATCATGTCCCCAGTGAGTATGGACCTCAGGACACAGAGTCTTTCATGTGTGAATGATCACGTCAGCAGTAGGCATGGAGAATCATCCCAGGGAACGTACAGAGGAGAATGGAGACCAACCCTCACCCAACAGCAACCTAAGACAGAGAGACATAAAAAAAAGGGGTTTGCAAAGAAGGGCACCATGAACTGTCAGCAGAAAGACAGAGGGAGAAAGCAAGAGAGCGATGTGTCAGGAAAACCAAGGAGCAGGTGTCTCAGTGAGGACGGGGTCCGCAGAGTTAAATTCTGGTCAGGGATCAAGTAGAGAGGGCCTCAGTGACCTTGTGGGTGGTACATTGGCAGAATTCACATGTAAATGGCTTTAGATGAAGTAGAAAATGGAAAAACTGAGACAGCAACTCCCTCAAGAAACTTAGTTAAAAGGGAGGAAGAGAGGTGATAGGAAAACTGGGGTGGGGAGGGGACACAGGATGGCTGAGGATTCTGTGACAGAATATTAATATCTAGCTCACAAAATGGCTTCACAGCCTCTCTGTGTAATTATCCCCATGTGTGTCTCTGTCTCCTTGATTCCATTTACCTTGTACCTCCACTTAAAAGGTCTATATCCTCAGCATCTGCAGCTCACTTGATGCATCATAGGAAATTCATGCATATTTGCTGAATTAATTAAGTACCTCTTTACTACTGCTTAGTGCCAAGCAGGCTTGTACTTTCTACCAAACAGTGGAAATGAAGAGCTAGCTATCATCTCACTTGAAAGAAACCTTAAAATGAGGAGGTGAATAAGGCCATAGCAGCTAACTGACCAATAGACAGGAGAGAGAAAATATTTTAAAAATTTTCAAAAAATGATACAAATCATTTTCTAAAAAATCCTCACCCAAGGACATGATTTTTTTTTTATTTTATTGAGTTCAGAGAGGAAGAGGGAGAGGGAGAGAGATAGAGAGACATCAGTGTGAGAGAGAAACTTTGATTGGTTGTTTCCCATATGTGCCCCACTGAGGACTGAACCCACAACCTTGGCATTTCAGGATGATGCTCCAACGACCTGAGCCACCCTGCCAGGGCACAAATCATCTTTAATCCTCAGAAAATTGTGCGTCCTTTGTTCCTCCCTGAAGAGAGGATGTGCATTAACCAGGTCTACTTCAGGGCAGTGTCCACGGCAGAGTCGGCAACTGTGGGGACTCAGAAAAAGGAACTGACTTCTGATTGATGTAAAGATGTACTCAGTGCACCTAAGTATATCTAATAAGTGGAACTTTGAGATCGTAACTATGTACTGTGATTATTACCAATGGTCTTTCAAAGGCCTACAGAGTATTAGTGAAGTGAAATCATTGCATAAAATCATATGTTAGAAGAAAAATAAAATGAGCCTAATCAAAGTTGTGGTGATTAAAATGTATAGGCCCAATTCATAATTCTTCCATTGTGAAGACATAATGACATTCTTCCATTCTTCATGAGATTACTTTAACATCTGTGTGTTAAAAATGTCATTACAAACACAAGTCGTACAGGA